AGCGTAAACGTGGTAAACTGTGGTATCTTGTGGAATGGGTGGATTTCGGACCCCAGCACCGGGAATGGGTGGAAGTAGGGGATATTCGGGCCCCTTATCACGTTCGAGCGTTCCACAAGCAGTTCCCGGACAAACCGGGAGGCCTCCCGGGGAAACCGGGAGATCTCCCGCCGGGGCCGGGAGGTGGTGGGTAAGTTGGATTTTCAGGTGGGCAGTATGTCAGCGAGCTGCCATTTCTTTGGGACACGTCCCATCCCCCTCCCTGTCTCCCAAAGCCTTATCCTGTTCATGTAATGCCTCTGTAACTGCCAAGGTCTCCAGCTGGTGTGATGTGGTGTTATGTCTTGTTGGCTTGTTTAGGTTTCGTTTCCCGTGTGAACTCAACCTTATGGAATTGGCCATTGCTGTTCTCAGCCCGCTTCGCGCCTTTTCTAATCTGTGAACCTGACGAGGGAAATATGTTCATTGGTTTAAACCTGGTTTGAATTTCCTTTTAATACACCTTCCCTGGGTATTGTAGTTATTCTTAACAATCTCTGTATGTTCGTGATCAACCATGCTTTGGAAATAAATCTTGCTTCTTTTGAACGTGGATCTATTCTCCTGATTTGGGATCTAACATCTTCCCACACCTTGTGAAAAAGTAAACGGTTCACTTATAACTGTACTAATTCACTACTTGTGTAATTGTAGGTTAAACTGATCCAGAGTTCTGACTCTATAGCTACCAGTTCTGTCTCAATGCTCTTTGTCACTGTGAATGCAAAATCCCCTCTCACCTGTTATTTCACAGAGAAATCCCACCTTACCTTGATGGCTGACTTCCAGTTCCTTTGTTTCGAGGTCATGGGTCAGCTCTAGGCAAAAAGAGAAACCATACTGTCAGCCACAAGCACAGATGGGACACAATGAAGCAGAGTAAAATGCTGCAGATAAAAAATGTGGGCAGAGAATGTTTTATGCCACTCCTATAAATTGGGCACCCAATGAATTCAGTGGACAACAGACCAAGGGCTGACAAAAGGAAGTACTTCTCTACATAATTAACTTATGGAGCTCATTATCCCAGGATCTTTGATCAGATCCCCTGGCATACACCTGAGCCTAAACACAGCTGCCAGGGGAAAGGCTGATGTCTGGGCGGACTGGGCATCCGCTGAGACCTTCCGTACCCCACTGCTACTCAAAAGGCCAGGCAGGAGGAAAATGGGGGGAGGGAGCCAATTTGATGTCATGCCAACACTGCGATGTCACTTCTGACGTGAACGGGAAATGATGTCATCACGTTGGCACAATGCTGTAGGGTTCACCAAAAATGTCATGGTTTAATCATAGAGTTTGGGGTGAATTCTAGTGTTGCACCAACAGGATGATGTCACTTCCAGTTCATGAGGGAAGTTATGCTGCTGTGTTGGCACAATGGTGATCAGGCAAGGCCTCGATCCCCCACAATCTCCCCGTGCTGGGCTGGCAAGTCTAGCTGAGGAGGTCTATGGTCTTCCTTAGTCCATCTGCTCCCACCAGGAATGGGACGCTTCCTCTGAGGTCCCTGCAGTGTCACATCTAGAACCAGCTCCCATTTACTGCTGGGAGTGGAACACGAGCATAACCTTTTGTGCTCCTGTAAGCCCCCACCAGGAATGGGAAATGGCCCCTTTAAGAACATAAGAATGGTCTTCCTTAGTCCATCTGCTCCCACCAGGAATGGGACGCTTCCTCTGAGGTCCCTGCAGTGTCACATCTAGAACCAGCTCCCATTTACTGCTGGGAGTGGAACACGAGCATAACCTTTTGTGCTCCTGTAAGCCCCCACCAGGAATGGGAAATGGCCCCTTTAAGAACATAAGAACCAGAATTGCACACAGTATTCCAGATGAGGTCGCACCATTGATTTATATAGCGGCATTATGATATTGGCTGATCTGTTTACAATACCCTTCCTAATAATCCCCAGCATAGCATTGGCCTTCTTTATTGCAGTCACACACTGTCTCGACATTTTCAGTGAGTTATCTACTACAACTCCAAGATCTCTCTCTTGATCTGTCTCTGCCAGTTCAGACCCCATCAACGTGTATTTATAGTTAGGATTTTTGGCTCCAATGTGCATCACCTTGCACTTGGCCACATTGAACCCCATTTGCCATGTTGACGCCCACTCGCCCAACTTTGACAGATCCCTTTGGAGTGCCTCACAATCCTCACTGGTTTTCACCACCCTGAACAACTTCGTATCATCCGCAAATTTAGCCACTTCACTGCTTACTCCCAACTCCAAATCATTAATGAACAAGTTAAAAAGCAGTGGACCAAGTACTGATCCCTGTGGTACCCCACTGCTTACACCCCTCCACTGGGAGAACTGCCCATTTATACTCACTCTCTGTTTTCTATTAATTAGCCAGTTTTTGATCCATAAAAGGACTTGTCCTTTTATCCCATGATTTTTGAGCTTACTTAGGAGCCTTTGATGAGGAACTTTATCAAAAGCTTTCTGGAAGTCAAGGTAAACAATATCTATTGGATCCCCCTTGTCCACATGTTTGTTCACCCCCTCAAAGAACATTAACAGGTTAGTGAGACAAGATCTTCCCTTACAGAACCCATGTTGAGTCTGCCTCAATAGGTTTTGTTCATCTATGTGCCTACTAATTCTTTCCTTAATAATGGTTTCCACCAATTTACCCGGTATCGACGTCAGACTGACTGGCCTGTAATTTCCCGGATCTCCTCTGGAACCCTTTTTAAAGATGGGAGTGACATTAGCTACCTTCCAGTCCTCAGGAATGGAGGCTGATTTTAAGGAGAGATTACATATTTTTGTCAGGAGATCCACAAGTTCACAATTGAGTTCTTTCAGAACTCTTGGATGTATGCCATCTGGGCCTGGTGATTTATCAGTTTTTAAGTTGTTTATCAGTTTTAGGACCTCCTCTCTCGTCACCTCAATCTGACTCAGGTCTTTCAACACCCCTCCCGAACTCAGCGGCTCTGGAGTGGGCAAGCACCTCTCATCTTCCACAGTGAAGACGGAGGCAAAAAATGCATTTAGCTTCTCAGCCATTTCCCTATCATCCTTCAGTACTCCTTTTACCCCTTGGTCATCCAAGGGCCCCACTGCCTCCCTGGCTGGTTTCCTGCTTCTAATGTATTTGAAGAAAGTTTTATTGTTGGTCTTTACATTTTTTGCTATATGCTCCTCATATTCCCTTTTTGCCTGCCTGACCACAGACTTGCATTTTATTTGCCATAGCCTGTGTTCTGTTTTATCAGCCTCACTGTGACTAGCTTTCCACCGCTTAAAGGAATCCTTTTTACCTTTTACAGCTTCCTTTACTTTGTTTGTTAACCATGTAGGCTTTTTCTTATACCTGTTTGTGCCTTTCCTAACCTGCGGAATATATTTTTGTAACCTTTGACATAACTCAGGGGAGACCTGGGACAATTTATCACTTGCTGAGAAATTGGTGCTTCTGGAAGCTCCTGCTAAGAATGGGAGACTGCCTCTAAGGCCCCTCTGATGATGCGTCTAAGACGAGAGGCGTTCCTAGAAGAAAGCACAGACTGAGCAGGATACACCAGTTGTCTGACTTGGCACACAACATTTCCCTATAGATTCAGGTGGGCTCAGCCATGTTGGCCTGAAGCAGCAGAACAAAGTCTGAGTCCAGCGGGGGCACCTTGAAGACCAACAGAGTTTTATTCAAGGTACAAGCTTTTGTGTGCCTGCACACTTCCTCAGATACAGAAGAAGTGCACACTAAAGCTCACACCTTGAATAAAACTTTGGTGGTCTTAAAGGTGCCCCCACTGGATTCAGACTTTGTTCTCATATTTCCCCATGTTTATATGTTGGTTTTGTTAGATCTCCCTCTCTTTCTCTCTCATATCTCAGTTTGAGCTCAAGCTCCTTTTGTATCCCTTTCCTCTCCCTTCTTTGAAATTTCCAGCCAGTCTCTGCAAATATGGACACTATAGCATTCCCTCTGCACAAGCTTATGTGATGTGCCCAGTTCTTCTACAGTCTTCATAAATAAAACATGATCGATAAATTGCATAACTTTTTAAATTTATTTAAAACATCTGAGTGCCACCTTTCCACCCAGCAGGGTCTGCAGAGCATCAAACTGTCAAAAACATTAAAACCACTTTAAACATACACACATTTAACAAAACACATAAATAGGAAGGAGGGTCAGTGATATTTGTTTCTTGAGTCTCATTTTTTAAAAAATTCAGGAAATTTTTTAATTTTATTAGATAAATAAAACTGGGAGATGTACAAAAAAAATTGAACTCATACACAAACATCAATGAAATACAGCATAAAAAACAAGAATAGGCCAAAAAAAGAGAGAAAGAGAGAGGGGGGAAAGTGACAAAAGGAAGGGGGGGACATGAAAGGCTTCCAATTTTCTCTACAACAAATATAATTTTGGTTACAGAATTTTCATTGCTTATATGTAGAAACAAGAACTCTCTCTCTTTTTAATTTCCCTTAAGCAAATTTCTTATTCATAAAATTCACAAACCATCCTTATTTTTTTATGCAATCACTAATAAATAAATTATCTTTTCCCTAACCAATACGATAAATTTACGCATATCTGCCAAGTCCAACGTCTTCTCCAGGCCTTCTTCTACCATAGGTATTGTCAGACATTTCCATTTCTAAGTGTATGTCATTTTTGCTGCCGTAGTCAAATATAGAACACAACTCTATATCTTAAGTCTTTAGAATCTTCCACAAATTCGATGTCTTCCTCTTCCCTTTGTAAAAAAATATTTGCCAAATGTAATGTAATCCTCTCTCTGATATCTTTGTCAGTTTCTTCTTGGATACCTCTCAGCCTCAGACAATATACCTTATCTCTGAAGTCTATAAGGGCTACAAAATCCAAATGCCTCTCGAATTCTTTGTCAATCTCTTCTGTTTTATTTTCACTGTTTTATCACTAATTTGCTTAACTTCCTCAGTAGTATCCCCTATTGTTTCTTTGAGTTTTTTCACATCATCTTTCATTTCTTTAGAGTTCCCGAAACACTCATTCATTCTTTTCTCAAAAGCCTCTATCTTGTTTCCAAGATTCTCTGTTTTACTCTCTGTTTTGCATCCCATTTGTTTGAGTAAGTTCTGCATCATATCTGACTAGGAAGAAGGCCCATTGCTGTGACGAATGTAACAAGCTCTAGTTGGGCCGCTGCCTGCCAGCTCGCCCCTCAGGAGAAGAAGGGGCGGCGGCCTCGTCTGCAGGGTGCAGTGGTGGGTAGAGCACAGCTGCTCCGCCGGCACCTGCGTCCCAGCTCCCGCCGCTGGGGTCAGAGAAGAGAAGGGTCTTGGCACAGTGGCAGGCCCGCATCAGGGAGGCCTCTCGGTGTGGTGGTGGTGGGGCACAGCATGGAACAGCATCAGAGCCGCCTCAGCTAGGCCGGATGACAATGACAGGGCTGCCGGCGGAGGGGTGGCCTCTTGCCACAGCAGCAGTGGGCACCCTGCCCCCGCCTCGACTGTGGCATTTCAGAACGTGTGTGGGCTCTTGCGCCTCTTCTCTGCCTCTCCCAGTGGGCCCACTCATCCGCCGGAGTGCCCGTCCCCTCGGCTGGCTCAGAGCACAGTGAGCCAGAGACGCCGCTGGCCGGCTCGGCGCCTCTGTGGGTGGGACAGAGGCAAGGGAGCCAGCCAATACAGCCAGGGGATTCTTCAGACTGGCAGGTGCGAGAGCAAAAGGCTGTGGGAGCGTGTGCAGGAGGGACAGCAAAACTCTTTTATAATAAGGAGAGATGTGACAGGTTGGTCTGATGAACCTTCCAAGTCAAGACCCTTTCTGGAATTCATTACAGTATAAGATCCAAGATA